CTTCTTGTACAACGGACATTCCGCGACTACATGAACACGGTCTTCGCATTCGAAGCCGCAATTACATTTGAACTCGTCGTCTTCGTCGTCTACCGTCTTATGTCTTCGTCGGCGTTCTCGAAGGCCTATGTCCCCGGTCCTGAATTTGACCTTAAGCTTTGTCCCTGCATCCATTGGTCCATGTAGGTAATCCTCAAACCCTCTTCCTTCCTTCAGCAATCCGTACACTTCTAGACCCTCCTTATCCTTGGATTCTTTCCTTACATTCTGTTCTTCTCTCTCGGCACAAGCAACAGATATTTAGGGTGCCATTCTTGCCTTATTTAGTCGTTTGGCCACTGACCATGTGGCACCCCTTTTCGATATAGGGGCACCGCAAATTCCAATTCCTCATGTATAGACATGTTCAGGGCACCAACACTCGGAGGTTCTCTCGACGTCTCTTGTTCATACGGTCTAAAAACGCGGGTGTGTCTGTGCCTGTGTGGGGTGCGAGGTGACCTTCTAATATACTGTGTGGAACGCTGGCATCTGTTGAAGAGGCGTTGACTACTTCATCCCGTACAGCACCGATCAGGTCGGGAATAGGGAGATGCCATGCCTCCGGGTTTACCGTACGTAGACCTAGACGTTCTGTACTACCACGCAGCGGCCGCGGTGCCATTTTCTTCGACAAGAGCTCGTGCACGTGGTTCGCCATACGTGTATGGCACATCCATCAGACAACGTGTTCGTGCAGATGATTATATCCCCGTCCAGCTGGGGTAGTACGTGCGTCCACACGGTACATCCATCAGAGCACGTGCCCATGCAGACATCCATACCCCCACTCAAACTGCAGCAACACAGAGTACGTCAATATGGTACATAGATCGAACACGTAGTCGTCCCGACTTTCTAATCCTACTCCAACTGCAACAGCATATCCGTCCATATGGTACACACAACAGAGCAAGTGCTCCGGTTGCAGATAATGCTATTCTCACTCCTAACCACAGCAGCAACAGTAACGTAAGTGCGTCTCACCAGGTTTGCCACGGGAACAACTCGGTGGACCGAAGGAGGGTCCTCCTGGAAGGCTCCGCCAACGCCTCGAAAGACGCGTCGAAAACCCTCGAGGCGTTGTTGAAACCGTCGATGGCGACCGCTACGGCTAACCTCGCCACTATCATCGTCACCGTCATCATTGTTGTTGTTGTTGTTGTTGTTGTTTGTGCCGTTGGTTGATTGGCGTCGTTTTGAGTGTCGCCGTTGGTTCCCGCAATGCAAAGCACAGTACCGACACGGGGGAAGGGGAAGGGCAGAGGGCGCGCTGACGTCATCCATGCGTTGCTATTCTTCATTCCAAACGTGTCCGTGCTATTCTAATTTCCAAAGCTCCGGCACTGTCGCATGGTACAACTCAACACTCTCCAAGCAGTACTAATAGGTGTTCCCCGCGTGCCTGGCCAACACAGAGCGTTTCCCTATGGTCCGTGGCGTCACCGACACGCCGATAGCTTTCGCTTTTTCACTTGAACAGCAGTAGTAACAAGTGATTCTGAGACCGGATCATGACAAGGACTGCCATTGCACTAATCTTGTCAACTTCGCGAACCCTCCTTGCCGACTGACCGTTGTTGGCGTAGGAAGCTGCTCCCTGCAGGACGCTTGGGGGTGGCGGCTGCCTCAACTCCGTCTCCATGTCCTCGAGCGACCTGCGGATGTTGCTCTTTTCGATTGCGTGGCGACACGCCGTAAAAACAATAAAAACACATTGCAGCGGGGAGGATATCATGCGGCGGTTGGTTGGTTGCGAAAAGCGAGTGCCGCCTTGCGTGCGATGGTGTGGGCATTGAGTTGACCAAGTACGGCATGCTCTTGTGAGAGCGGTGACAGACAGTTTGTGGTCACAGCAACTCCGTAAGTGCAACAACAAAAAGAAAGGCGCGAGAACCTCTCCCAGTGGTTTTTCGGTTCAATTTTACGTGTGCACATGTAGATGGCGTCATTTCTACCATCCCACATTTTTCAGTCTTGATAACAGGTACCTCGACGCACCTTATGGCTTGGACGCCAACCGTTGGTCACTAAAGGAACCCTCCTTGTAACGAGGTCAGAACGGGGACGCAACTCAAATACCTTTCAGCAAGAAATAGACGTTCAACGTTTTAAAAAAGAACGCGTCATTTTCGTCCTATGTACATGTGTGTGCCCTTTGTTGTTATTGTTGTTGATGTTGTTGTTGTCGTTGTTGTTGTTGTTGTTGTCTTTACATTAAAAAACGTTCCGATCTCTTTCTACCCAGTACCTTCATATGTCCGTACTGATCTAACACTTGAAGCGTTATTGGGCGATTGACCTGTGTCCACGGCAGGCGTCCGCGTTAGATGGAGCGGCATCGGTAAAGTTCAAAATGTACCGAGCAAAGACCGGAACGGTTTTCTAACGCCAAAATAACAAAAACAACTACAACAACAACAACAACACGACAAGTTACGATCTAAGCAAAACGGCTCAGACGTAGATCACACCGTACAGTCGTTTGAGTCCACACTGGACGGTCACAACCCAAGCAAGTGAAGTGTGAGCTTCGACCCGAAGTTGACGACTTGCCGGCGGGCAGGCCGCCCGTTTCTGCAAACAACATGATCGGCGACACGCTGACGATTTCTGCAAACAACATGATCGAAAACAGGCTGACGATGGCGCCACACGTACCTGCAAGCCGGCGAGCACTTCTCTGAGGTTCTCGATGACCTCCGTTTCTGCCGCAAGAGCCGTGTACGTCATTACGCGCGAGATCTCCTGTGTGTCGTTAAGCCTCGCCGCCAGCGAGGCCAGGGTCACCTGCCACCGTTTGAAAATCGGCGTTGGATGTTTGTCGCCAGTGTGTCAAGTGTGCCGGGGTGGTGAGAGCGGCGGTCGGAGCCAGGCAGTGGCACACCGGTCGCCCCGGTGGTCTAGTGGGTAGCCTTGTAGCCTGCTAAGGGCCAGGTCATGGGTTCAAGTCCCGGCAGAGTGATTTTTTTTCTCACTAAATAAATCCTGGTCTAGGATGAAAGCGACGCGTTGCAAAGCTCGTTTGTTAGTAAACCATAATCGACTTCGTAAGTCGCGAGGGAAGGGATTGCTGTACCCTTCTCGCGATAAAAATACTTCAGGCAGGAACCGCAGGAGGGGGTCCAGCCCCCCCCCTCCTATGTGACCCCGGTTGGGTCGTCTAGCTGGTAGAAGTGGAGGATAGGGGTCAGAGGGGCAGACGACGGAGTCCAACGGTGGGAGAAAAAAAAAAAATGTGTGTCGCGTGATGCGTGTGCCGGGGCGGTGAGAGAGGCGATCGGTGCCAGCCGGCCGCATGGTTCGGGGCAAACAGCCTAGTTTATCTAGCCAGTCCACCCGGAGGACCGAAACAAACATCGAAAAAACACTGCTGATAAGACGGGTGTCTCCAGGTTGATGTGCGGCTCAAGGATCTTTGGTGATTTTGCGGTGTCGACACGACAACATGCCTGACTTCAACAACCGCCAACGCTTGCGCTTTCTTAACGGTATCGAGACGATGCGCGGCTCAAGGTTCCCTGTGTGATGTGCGGCGTGGACAACACGCCTGAGTTCAACCACAACCAACACTTGCGATCTCTTTGATGACAAGGGTTGGTGATGGTTGAAAACTGTCGTGTTGTACACGCTGGACATGACACGAAGGACCTTGATAACCGCACATCGTCTCGAAAAGGTTGATAAAGCGTAGGTGTCGGTGGTGCTTGAACTCGGGCGTCTTGTCCACACCGCACATCAGGCACAGAACCCTCTTCGCTGCACATCATCGCCAAAACCTGGAAGACAACCAACCGTCTCACAGTGGGCGTCAGCGGCAGGACCCTCGACGATTTACCAGCGGGCACGCCCCTTGACGGAAGCCGTTGTGCTCGGACGAGCCGGGTCATCTTCAGGTAGTAGAATACGACGAGCTGGCCGACGGTCGCACCGTCCTCTCCTTCTTCGTCCACCTCGACCCAACGCTTCATTTCCTCAGGGTGGTACCCCTGGTGTGACCTCACGCTTCCCCGTCCTTTGGAAAATTGTCGGGTCGAGATGGGCGAAGACGGCGTCTGCCGCGCAGCTCATCGTATTCCACGACCAGAAGATGACCCGCCTCACCCCAAGCGCGGTTCCCCCGCAAAGCGGTTCCCCCGCAAAGCGGTTCCCCCGCAAAGCGGTTCCCCCGCAAAGGGGTTCCCCCGCAAAGCTGGGGTGGCGCTGAGGTGCTTCCGCCCCGCTGCTGCCGACACGTACATAGGCCGACGACATAATACGTAACACACACATGACCGTATGGTACAAAGCAAAACGCCAATCGCACAAAAATGATAGCAAAAAATGATCTCATACATAGCCTACAACGGCAGCGGCAGTACGAAGCACAAGTACTTACCGTATATGACACAAGATAAAACACCCCCTGGACCGACTTTCAAAGCTCGATTACTCCACGACGAAGCGGATGCATAAACGAAACGATACCTTTTCGAAAAGCTCTCGACGAGACGGTTTCAACGCCGCCATTTTCGGCGCTGTGACTGTTCCTGCAGTTGAGAAATCGAGCTTCGAAAATTGGTCAAGGGGGTGTATTATCTTGTGTCATATACGGTAAATAGTTTGCAACGATAGCAGCAGCAGCAGCACTCACATCCGCCCCCCCGTCCCTGCCGTAGTACGCCTGCGCCGCCGCCTCCCCGGACAGAAACGCAGCCCCGCCGCCCTCGCCGGGCCTGCCCGCGGCCAGCAGCCGGACGGCGTCCGTGACAAGGGCCGGCGGCACGGCGCCGAGGAGGAGGGCACGGTACACTTCGTCGAACGAGAGCTCTCCGATGCCCTTGTCGTCCAGTTTTCTGATGCGGTATTGCGGCGGGCACATCAAGCACAAAGGAGGGGGGGGGTGTACTCATAGTCGTGCATGCCGTAGTCGTTAGACCATTGACCTCGCATCCCTACAAAGCCGGGACGGAGCACGCCGGGTTCTCACCGGACCAGGCTCTCACATCACCAAGCGCGAAGCGCCGTGAGATATTCGGCGAGTCGCATGAAGGGTGCGCTGCATCCTGCTAAGGGTGTTCGGCATCTTGTGCTTACTTCCTTGCGTACGGATGACAGCTGCGTATGAATTAATTTATTTTCTGGTGCTTTCACTTCCAGAGACAGTTGTAAGCACTGTGTAACTGCCTCGAGGGTGCGTGACCATTTTAACACAACGTGGTGCGATCATCCCCCTTGCGCGGAGTGAGGGTTCTCCACCCCGCACAACATGATCTACTCGACCACCATTGTTGTTACCGCCAAAAAAAAACAGGAGGTAAAAAAAAAAAAAACGGTAACCTGGTTGCCGAGCTCACGAAGTGAATTGGCTTGTTTTACAACGTCGTTGCCAAGCGACGAAAACCCAATCCCGATGGCAAACACCGGGGGGGAGCGGAGGGGGGGGGAGGGTTACACCTCGTCCATGGAAGGTGCTCCCAACGCATACGCATCATGGGTAGCACACATGATGGCAACTACGTGAAAGGTGGGGGGTGTACTCATGGTCGCCATCGGTAGGGGGGGGTCCAACAAACACAACGGGACTGTCACCAGTTGCCGTCGAGGAGCAAGGATCAGCGACTCTCCTACACCGCTACTGCCGAACTACGGGGTTTCCCGAACAGACGCGAAAGACGACGAAAAGGTGGGCATGGGCCGAGAGAGGGAGCGACCGAATAGAGAGAGAATTGCGACGAGAGGCGCAGTGCCACCCACATGGCACCACCGACCATGCAAACGAAGGTGGCAAAAGCCAAGACTCCAACCACAGCAGAGCCAGCAGCAGCAACAACAACAAATGACAAAGAATTGGCACGTAAAGGAACAAAAAAAACACTGGCAGCCAAGCCGCAACACAATCCCCCACAGCAAACAAAAAACACACGTGTGCTCATGCCCAACAGCAACAACAATGCGACAGCGAAACCAATCAAAAAGAACACACGAGGAATATAAAAACAGCCAATAATCTAACCAATACGCTTAGACCAACCCTTAATCGACGTCCTGACCTGACCAACGCTTCTAGAAGGGACAGTTGCTCCTTTGTCTGCTTTGGCAGAAGCCTCCCTATCGATTCCTCGATGCTCCGGTAGGTCGCGTTCAGCTGGACCATCAAGCTCCCCTGGCACGTAACACAGCACAAAAACGCTTACTATCTTGTCTCTATTTCAATGGGTCGGCACTTCCTGGATATACACGAGTGGATTTTTGGCTCCGCGAGATTGTGACTGAGTCTTTGTCACAGATGGTTCAGCACAGTACAGCCCGGCGATTTTCCATTTTTTTCTCCATGCGGTGGTGATACTCGAAGTACTTCGTATGCGGGTTTTAGGGAGACAGTGGCGGATGGCCTCTTGTAAAGCCCGGAGGAGGATGCGTTGGACAATGGGGCTTCTTCGCGACAGTAGTCTAGAGCGCGGCGGTTTTCCAATATTGTATGGCAGTTCTTCACGCAGGTATGTGATACATAATTGGCTCTTGGCCTTCAAGGCCTTCAATAAAACCCCGAGGCGGGTGTTCTGGACTATCCGGCTTTGTCGCGATCGATGCTGTGTGGCGGGTTGTTCGCGAATATAGCTCTCAACCAGGCGGCTTAACCTGCTACATAGGCCAACCCACGCACACACGCACTCGCTACACCTCAGCCAAGTCGACGTGTGATCTGTTCAGGACCGTTTTTCGGACCGTTCTCAAGCCACGAGGAAGACCAAGCCCGCCAGTGCTTCCCACTACCCCAACTCACCCCAGCGCTTCACCAAAGTAGTCGACGACCTTACCGATATCGATGGGGAGAGTGCAGCACCGGTGAGATAGCAGCTGAAAGAGACTTCCCAAGGATCGGAGCTACTTTATGACCAGCTGGACGCGCCCTTTAACGGTAGCGTTCTATTCCCTCGCAGGGGCCCGCCTGGTTTACGACTCCGGAGAGCTGGTGCCAGCAGACGCCTGTGTTCCTTCGAAGGAACACACACGTCTTCCGGCAGTAGGTCTCTTCGTGAGCGGGCCCTTGCGACGGAATAGAATGCTACCGTTGAAGGGCACGTGCGGCTGCTCATATAAAGGTAGATCCGTTTTTTTTTTTTTTCGGTTGCTCGCGGGTGCTGCACTCTCCCCGTCGATGCAGTCGATATCGGCAAGTTCGCCGACTACATTGATGAGGCGCTGCGATGAGGAGGGGATGGAAAGGCATGTTAGAACAACGATCAAGGTGGACCGTGTTTACGAGTAGGACATGGAATGGCCGGTAGGCCATGGTTGTAAACCTAACGTCACATTAGCTATCGCTGTATTGGCACTCGCGGCAGCGTGGTGATCGAACCGAATCACACGGGAGCTTGCGCGTGCGCCCCCACCTTCGTACAACAGCGCGAGACAAGCATCGGGAATACTAGGAATGGTAGACGCTTGAAAGAGCGGCTCCGGGGACCGATTGTGTTTCAGAGCGTTTTCAATTTCGTATTTTGCCACGGCAACCTAATGTTACCTGAGAACGTCAAAAGGAGGCAAAAAAAACACCACCTTGCATCACTGAAAATTTACTCGCTCGTAGGGAAATCGACCGCAAAAAACGTTGTCCGAAGGCAAGTATGCGATGTCATAGAAGTGGCAATACCGTAGTTGTTCGATTGACCGCACCCCGTCCTAGACAGACCCTCACAGCTCGATCGATTGCTCCACAACTCAGAGGTCACCCGTGCCGAAATACAGGGTGGTCTTCGGAATACAAAGGTCTCCTCGACAGGCCTCTTTCCTTCGACATAACCGCGGATCTTCGCACCTGCTGTACCCTCTCGGTTGTGGAGAAATCGATCAAGCTACCAACAGTCGGCCCAGGCGGGGGTGCGATCACTCGGGCACCATCGCGATAATCACGATAGAAGTATGATTCAATTTTTCCATATTTCCATATTTCCACACGGTACAGCGGAAGTTTCTCACCTTCTCCGCGGGGAGAGAGATGGGCCGCAGCAGTGCCCTCCTCTGGACTCTAATACAGAATAATTCCATATTCCCATACGGTACGGTAGTTTGTCACCCACGGGCAGAGAGATGGGCCGCAGCAGCGCCTTCGTCCGGAGCTCAAATACGGTATGTGCCCATATTTCCATGCGGTACGGTATGCTCTCAGCCTCTGCCGCGGGCAGAGAGATGGGCCGCAGAAGCACCCTCGTCTGGAGACCAACTATGGCATAAATTCCACATATCCATACGGTACGGTATGTTCTCACCTCCTCCGCGGGCAGAGAGATGGGCCGCAGCAGTGCCCTCGTCTGGAGCTCAATAACCTCCTTCAGCAGCGCCTCCTGGTAGCTGTTGCCCACACCCCGACGCTTCCATTCCGCTAAATGATTTACGGAAAATTTAACGAACACGATATTTTGGCGGAGAGACTACTTCCTGCTCGTCGTAGTCGACGTCAAAGTTGATGTCATGGGTTGCGCATCGGTGGCCGGGCGGGGAGGGGGTTACGTACGGTACTCTGCGGCCATTCAGTACGTCCGGATCAAGAACGACTTCGAGACGGAGGTGTGACCGGAAAAGGAAGCTGCAGCTTCTTCTTCTTCTTCTTCTTCTTCTTCGAAGAACTTCTTCCTCGAAAGTCGTGCTTCGAAGGACGTTCTTCGGCGAAGCTTGACAGAGGCGAGAGCGGGAGGGAGGTAAGACCCGCGAGCACAAAACCAACCGTTCATTGCTCAAGGCCGGTAAGACAACAGTGGCCGTCCACCATCACGCGTGGTGGAAAGACGTCGAGAGAGTCTCTCGGAGGTCGGTGGCAGCTTGCCCCCATCTGCGTAGATACATATTTCATTTTCTTGAAAAGTTGTGTGGCTTGCACGGCGAAACTAACGCGAATCAGACAGCTGCAGCGCGATACGTAAAAGGAGTGGTGGAGAGGGACAAGTACTCCGGCACCCCTTTGCCAGGACCGTGAAAACTCCAGAAGAACCACGTAGCAGCTCCTTGACGTCGCTTCGCTGCACTTGACCGTTCGGCAACCTCTACACCACGCCGTGCACCGCCACAACAGCGACAACCAAGTCGCGGAAAGAGCCACGGCAAAAAAAAACAACGAACATTCCAACACGCATGCGCGACTCTTGCTGAGCCACACACAGCAAACAGAAAACATAACGACGACAATGCCAAATAAAATGGCACCAATCGCTGCTACAAATGCTCTGCACGCTGACTGCAAATACCACGCGGCCGCCGCAAACAGAGCCCGTGCACGGAGCACCCACCAAGCTGCTTGGTGATGATGGCGGCGAAATCCCAATCGGACTCGACCAGCTCGAGGCCTCGCGCCTGCGTTGAATAGAATAGGGGCGCGCCACAGCAGCAGCACAGCGCACGGCCGGCGTCACCGGCTGAGCGGAAAGAGCACGCAGGAAAGGCAGTGGGCATGCTTGACCGTCTTTGCCAACAGGGGGCGGCAGTCACAGGATGAACCAAACATCCAAAAGCGAACACGGCATCATGTAGATCGGGCATGCCATAAGCCAAACACCACGAGCAACCATGCGCTCGCCGATTCAATAATGGCTCTCGGTGCTGGCAGGCACGCAGGCACGCGCGTGCCTAGCGATCAGGTAGCCACGTTCCCGAGTGGGCAACGTTCTCGGAAACTTCCACGGGTAAATAATGTACCAAATATACCGCCGTAATGCTGCATGGTATGCTATATCACCGCACCCCTACGACCGACTTCCCAAGATTCCTTATCCACCACCCGCAAGTGCAAACATCTCAGTACAGCGAAGAGGGCTGCAATGGGAAACATCTTTCCGAAGACGGTGCGCTTGGTGCTGCGGCCCCCTCGTTGCCAAAATATCGGGCTCCGAACATGGCGACCATGGATTACCATCAATCACCCGGGGTGCGCGTGGTATCAAGAAACGATGGGCTTTTTATGTACAATACAATGCTGCGGACCTCCACGTTTCTGTAGGTCTCGTTCAAAAGTGCCCACGCTGGTCCTCTGACGGGCTCCTCTAGCGCTTCCACCTGAAATGGTTGCGTTTTGAAAAGACGTTAATGCGCCAGTGGGGGGGGGGGGGAGGATGGTTGGTAAGTACACACACAAGCACCCGTCTTCCAAACCTCCTGCTTGTTGCAACGGGAATGCTCCGTGTTTTGAGCACGAGGCACTGAATGACGGCATTATCACCGGTGATGATGGTGTCTTCCTTTCGCCAGTGCGACAAAGAAGTGCAATACACCACAACGGGACGTTAGTGCCGGGGTTCTGCAGACTGTTGGTAGGGTTGCAACATTTTGCAAGAGAGGTGCGTGCGGCGAACGAAACAATCGCGAAGCGGTGCGGCTCAGCAAAGCCAGACTTTCACTACTAGTCAAATATGGGAACGAGGGGTGCCGCAACATCAGTCTCGCGGGAGGACCCAGGGGTACAGCACGTGCCTGTGCGGCAATCTCGCGCTTGGCCAATTCCGCGCCCGCCACGCCCGCCACCATCATTAAGGCCTCCCGCGGCATTCTTGGAACGGAGTCCCTGCAAAGAGGGTTTTCAAGAGCAAAAATATTAAGAAACGACCATGAAATGTGCGCAACAAGAGGGAAGTTTGTTATGCGACAGAAGAAAGACGCTGGGCGTGACTAGAGAACACACAGCACGTACAAATGTTGCTGCATTTCTTCGTGTCTTAGAGTATCCCGGCCTGCTTACCTCTCTCTCTCTCTAGGCCTGTCTCTCTTTGCCTCTCTGTCCCTCTGTCTGTCCGTCTGTCTGTCTGTTTCACTCTCTGTCTGGCTGTCGGTCTGTCTGTCTGTCTCTACTTTATATCTCTCTTTCTCTACTTTCTCTCTCTACCCTCTACCTCCTTCCTCCCTCACTTCCTGCCCCCCCGTCTCTTTCTTTCTAAATCCCTCCTCTCTAGCTGTCCATCTCTCTGCCTGTCTCCTCCGACTCCCTCTCCCCACAAAAGAGTTCTATGCTTGCGTGCCTGACAGCCTGCTGCGCGCGGGCCATCAACCCGGTCCTCTCCAAAACGGTCACGGTCCACCGGCGCCACAGCGGCAGCCGCACCGCCCCCTTCTTCTCCTCTTCCTCCTCCTGCCGCACCCCCTCCAAGACCCCGTCGTCATCGCCAGCAACACCTGTTTGTGTTAAAAGTGAGCGGGTAAATAAATTCAAACCGCGCGTTGTTTGTCCAAGGTGCTGCATACACCCTTCCGGAGGTCGATTTCACGCAGCCCGACATGGTGACGGGCGGCAAAAGGTTAGCTAGGGTTAAGGTTTGCACGTTTGCACGTCAAAAGCGACGGCCGGCCTTCGAAGATGGCAGTTTTCGTGGCGTGTTTGGCTGTCTGACAACCAAGTCCCTCTGGCTGCCGGGATGGTAATTATTTTTTTTTTTGGTCTTCACACTTCAAATCAGCGCTCACTGCCGGGACGGTATGCGAGGGTTTTTCGGCCCGCCTCTCTGTGATTGGTTGGACTGGCTGACAGTCCCTCTGGCTGCCAGGACGGTGAGCCAAGGTTATCCCTCCGCTTCTCTACGAACGCCTTTGACCCAATGAGGGCGATCGATAGATGCGTGCTCTTTGCTGCCAGATGCGGATGGTTCTCGTGTGGCTGCTTCGAGGTGAATGGGTACCATGTTTACAGCAAAGAGTGTCACACGATGTAATATACCACCTTCCCGCCGGTTGCTGGACTTGCCAACCACCACAGCTCCAAGGCACGAACCCTACGCACACCCTTAATAGCAGCAGCGTTTCAAACAAAACCGCTTTCGAAAAGTTCCCGCCTTGCTCTCAAATTGGAACCCGCTTTCCTAGACGAGAACTTGAGCTTGTTACAAAGCAGTACTGTGATATCGTGAACACAAGGGTACATACGTGCTGCCTTATTGCGCCATTCAAACTTACCATCTAAACAAACCGACAAGAGGAGTTTGAGCCCGAAAACCTTCAAATCGCACCCAGTGGTGGCTATAGTGCAGGAGAGGGTCGGGACAAGCGAACAACAATCTCTCAGATCCGGGTTTCTCTTAAACCGTGCTGCTGTGTGATAGGTGTAGAGGTATTGTGCATGGTCGGGGGAAGTCAAACACACCCAAATGAATCCGATTTTGTCTTTAGAAAAATCTCTCTTCAACCGGAGCCGCTGCTGTAGCAGCAATTTCGGTCCGTACCTTCGCCGGAGTTGTCGTGTCGGGCGGGGCAGGACAGGAGAACAGCGCCACACGTAAAGTCCACGCCTTTGGGTCGTGCGAGTTCTGCGGCCCGGCGTTTCGCGGCCTGTTTGATCACATCCGTCGTCGACAGTACAACCAGACGGGAAAGAGTAGTGTGTGGTGATCACATCCACCATCGACAGTTTTATCCGTCGGAAAAAAGCATTGTGAGATGATCACATCCATCACCGAGAGTATAAATCAGTCGGGTAAAACTAGTATTGTGTAACGAGAGGGAACGTGCTCGCCAGTCGTTGGGGAGATGAGACCCATTGTCAAGGCCACCAACATCAAAGGGGGCTGGGTGGAGAGCCTAGAAGGAAAGGAGGGGGGG